ATGTACCGAATAGCACTCGAATTTTCCATAAAAAAACGTACAACCTTCATTGTATTGAATTGAAAACGTTACCAAGAGATTTATTAGGAAAAAATCTCCCAGACATTATTTTTTTATAATTAATATTACGAATAAAAAAGTTTAAAATAGATATTAAAATAGATATATCGAGTGCTTTCCGGTCCTGCACATTCCATTATTGCTTTCCGGTCCTGTGAAGTAATAGTAATACATCACCGAAAAGCAGTGGTCTTCTTACCTCAGACATACCGATGGTATATAAATATTTAAAATGTATTATTTATTTATTTATTTATTATTTATTAAAGTCTCATCAATATACATTCATACAAGTTACAATCAATATATACATATATATATACAGTCATAATAAAAAGTATATTGCCACTCCATAGTGGAGTTATAAGAGACTGTACAAACATCATATACACATTATATGAAATCATTTGAAAGGAACACAACAATAAATGATAAAAACTAAATGAACTAAAGGACTAGGCTAAATGAATTTATAAAAATTAATAATAATAATTAAAATAAATAAATAATAATAAAAAAAAAAAAATAAACGCATAAGCGAAGACACATTAGAATCAGTTTAAGTAGGAAAAGTATATGCAATTATACATACAATCTAATTAAGAAAGATTATTTACAAATTAAAACTACCCGTCTGTGTAATATAAGATAGCAGGTTTTGGCACAGATTCTTATCATATCTGGGTTGGAAAACAAAAAATCAAATTTATTGGCATCAGATAGTGTTAAAAATAAGTCATTATGATCTATTGCACGATTAAACAATTTTTCTCTTATATCACAGTACACTGGACAGTGAAACAATACATGATATTCATTTTCTGTAGTTTCACAAAATGGACAAATTCTTTCATTAATTGGCAAACCTTCGTATCTGCCAGTTTCAATTCTAATGGGAGCAACCCCACACCGGAACTTACAAAATGCGGACCTGTGTCTAGGCGGAAGAATCAATTTGCAATATTGCTCAGTGACATATTCATATTTAACGCATTTATACAACCGGAGTTTATTACCGCCTCGTCTAGAAGGACCCGTATTTCTATTAATTCTGTCTTTCCAGTTGGTAATGTACTTATTATAGACAATACTACTGACTTTCTGTACAAAAGATGTTGGCAAGGGCTGTAAGATATTATCATACGTGTTCAAATGATTGTCATCGAAAAATTGCTTAATCAAAAATGGCCAATTTCTACACAAACGATTGGACTTTGACGCTACCCAGAGTGCTATTCGTTTATTGACTCTCTCTGTGTTCATATGAGATAAGCGTGACCAATACAGAGAAACTGATTTCCACTGCCTAACTGACGGAGGAATCCAACCCATGTCACCTGAAACACCATCATTAGGAGTGTACTTTCCGACACCTAGAAAAAAGCGTTGAGCTCTGTTGTGAACCGCATTAATACACGAATAAGACCGAGAACCCCATAGAGGTGCACTATAACTTATTACAGGCCAAACAACAGAGTCATACAATTTAGAATAAACTTCAAATGGAACACCACCTAAGCCTTTGCATTTTGCAATTAAAAGACCCAATGCGCGACTAGCACTCTGAGCAACAGCTTTAACAGTTACTGAATAATCGAGATGCTCGTGTAATATGACACCTAAATAAGTATATCTATCAACTATGTTCAATACATTATTACCACATTTAAAGGCAACACTCGTACGTTGAACAGCTTTCGGGCGGAAGTGAATTACATTACTTTTTATAGGGTTAACGGTCATATCATTCAACGAACACCAGTCATTTAAGGCATTTAACAATATCTGTAGATCTTGAGCATTATCAGCTAATATAACGATATCATCAGCGTATAACATGATACAAAGTTTTTCATTACCAATATTTATACCCAGATCAAAAGATTTAATAAATAATGTTAAATCATTGATGAATAAATTAAAAAGCAAGGGAGATAAAATGCATCCTTGACGTAAACCACATTTCACGTCAAACCACTCTGTTTTAAATGAATTAACTCGAACACATGACATCACAGATACATACAAAGATTGAACAGCAGATAACATCTTACCACATACACCAATATCATACAATCTTTTCCAAAGTATATTTCTATTTATAGTATCATAAGCTTTCTTTAAATCGATGAAGGCACAAAATGTTGACAATTTATTTTTCTTTCTTGTATCAATAATGTTATTAAGAGACAAAATATGATCTATGGTACTACGACCTTTTCTGAATCCATTCTGTTCATCTGACAATTTTACATTTGATTCCGTCCAAAGATAGGAACTATACCTTTATCAAAGCAAATGTTAAATTAAACATGCAAAAAAGAAAGAGCAGAATCATTGGTAAGCACCTCAACTGGAATGTATGTACCTTGTCTAATATATTAATAAATTTATTTGTTGTAGGCTATATGGAAGACAAGATGATTCAAAATAGCAGGAAGAGAAGAACAATAATTGTTTCAGTGATGTTTTTTTATTTTTGACAATAAACAGTGCAATAAATAAAAATAAACGAAACTAATTACTAAGAACAAAATAAACAGATATAAAACAGAACTTAGCAAACATATATACATACATAATTGAAAAATAAGTATGATATTGAAATCAATCACCGCACAATTCACGCCTTGTTTATTACACGGGTAAATATCAATACATAATATATTGTGTTGTAGTATATAAGTTCGAGCATGGGCTGGACTATAGCCTGATGAGCATAAATGACATCTTAAGACACACTCGAACTTACTTATGCGGTCATCTATAATATATTTATGCATTGATATTTATCCCGTCTTGGGTTTCTTCACCAAGAAAATAATGTTGATTATAAATTTCTACATTCATATATGATAAGTCATAACGATTGTCTTGCCACTATATCATGCATTAACATGCCTCCAAATGATGTACTAAGCTTTTATGCAAAGTAAAAAGGTTCAAGAAATAATTTACAAGTTATTATTATTAAATTTACTTCACATTTTCTAGTGGTAAGACATTCACCAAGAGTATAATAAAACTTGTACTTACCTCGTAAGAGCACCCTCAGCATCATAATCCGATCCACGGAATGCACAGCACTTACATAGATATACTAAATTTCTATCCGACCAGGACTTAATGTCACTTAAATTTGTACAAGTACGATGCAACCAGTTCTTACAATTTGAACACTGAATTGTATCATCAGCACATTCTAATGTACACACAATGCACGGATACTCCGTCATGATTTTTGATATTTTATTTAAGAGATATTCCAATTTAGATTTATAAAGTCTTTACTAATAATAATAATAATAATAAAGTCTTTATTTCAAGAGGCTACACAGTTGCATCAAAGGCAATCTACCCTGTGGGCCTCATAAATTGCACATATTTACAATCATACAGTTGTGAATAACATGAAAAATTATGCAATAACATTAACATAATTATTTTGATATTGCAAATAGACAATAATGATAATGATTATATAAAGTGCACAAAAATATATACAGTGAACAAGGCATTTCAAAATTACAAATAAACCTTTGACAATAACAATATTTCAATTAGAGCAGTGTATTTCTTATAATTTTATATTTGATTTGTCTTTTTCCAATTTTCTATGTATTTATGTTTAAAGTTTTGAAGTGATTGTGCAGAGCGTATGCTGATTGGTATTTCATTCCAAATTTTTGATCCTAAATAGTTAAAACTTTTTCTGAAAAATTCTACTTTTGGTTTTGGTTGGTATATGTTAAGTTTTGAATCTGTTGAACGTAGGGTGCGAGAATGAATAGTATGGTTGAAGGTAAATTTTTGTTTTAAGTACTCTGGGCAAATATTGTTGATTGACTTATATACCATAATTGCTTGTTTATATCTGACTCGGTCTGGGAATTTCATCCAGTTTAATAAAATGAATAGATTTTCAGACGGGGCATCATATGGTTGATCTAGTATAATCCTAGCTGCTCGTTTTTGAAATCGAACTATGGATTGTATTTGCTCCAAATTACAATTTCCCCAGATAGAGCAACAATAGTCTAAGTGAGGTAGTATGTAGGAGTTAAAAAATAGTTTTCTAATGGGAATGTCTATGAAATATTTAATTCTTTGCAGTAGGTATAATTTGGAATTGCACTTTTTTAACACATGATTAATATGGTTTTTCCAGTTTAATTTGCTGTCAACATGGACACCTAGAAGTTTTTCAGAGTTGGAACATTCTATTAAATTATTGTCTAAATGTAGCATGTTTAATAATTTGGAGTCTGTTTTGTTTGATGGATAAATTGCCATTGCCTTTGATTTCTCTGCATTTAGTGACATAGCGTTCATTTGACACCAAAAACTTACATTATCTAATGCAGTTTGTAATTTAGTTTGTACTTCCAGATAAGTTGTTCCAACTGCAGAAATAGTTGTATCATCAGCAAATATATCTGTAAAAATTTCCTTTAGTTCATTTGGAAGATCATTTATATATATAAGAAATAAAAGTGGACCAAGAACAGATCCTTGGGGAACTCCTGATTTTATATGTCCTGGTTCTGATAGTTTCCCAGATATAGATACCTTTTGAAGCCTATCCTGTAGGTAGGACTTAAACCACAGTATTGTTTTATTGCTGATATTAAGGGTTTGTAGTTTCTGGATAAGAATAGAGTGATATACTAGGTCGAACGCCTTTGAAAGGTCGAGAAACAGTGTTCCAACAACTTTTCCATCATTAATAGCATTTATCCACCTATCTACTATTGAAAGTAAGGCAGTTTCACAGGAGTGATCTTTTCTAAAGCCAGACTGATAGTTATAGATTAGGTGGTCGGCTATATGTGGCATTCGTAGACTTTAAGAAATGTTTTGACTTAATCAGACGTGATAAATTGTGGGCTGCCTGTACTAATAATGGGTTTAGTGGCAAACTGCTGCAGGCTATGTATGGGATGTATAAGTCTGTTAAAGCCCAAGTTAGAACAACTGATGGTTTATCGGAACCATTCAACTGCCCAGTGGGCCTCAAACAAGGCTGTTTGGGGTCGCCAATTTTTTTCGTAATTTTCATAAATGAGCTTGTAAAACTCTACGAAAGTTCATCCACTCATGGAATACAGCTATTTCCAGACACATATGAAGTAAAATGTTTGTTGTTTGCTGATGATTTAGCTTTATCAGCTGACACTGTAGTAGGGCTACAAAGGCAACTAGATACGTTAAAGAATTTCTGTGACGATATGAGTGTTCAGGTCAATAAAGATAAGACTAAAATCATGGTTTTTAAACATGGCGGTTGCCTATCACGTCATGAAAAATGGAATTTTGATGGTACCCCAATTGAAGTTGTTAAAAGTTTTTCTTATGTTGGAACTACATTTAGCTCTAACCTTTCTTTTTCAAAGATGGCAAGTGAACAAGCAACGAAAGGCAAACGTGTACTCATTCACACATGATCGAAACCTTTTAACTATGGTCAGTTACCTAGACTTGTTTTCTTTAACTTTTTTGATACAAAAAATAAGTCAATTTTATTGTATGGTTCGGACATTTTGGGCATTCACCGCCAAAACCTCAATAGAACTGATACATAACTATGCATGTAAACGATATATGTGTGTAAACAAAAACACTATAAATGCAGCTGTCCTTGGTGACTGCGGAAGACATCCTTTATATATTACAGCTGCAAAGCGAGTTATTCGATACTGGTGCAAAATTGTGAAACTTCCTGACAGTAGATTAGTAAAGAAATGTTATAATATGCTATTGAATCTATCAAATAATGATAGAAAAAGCCTGTGTTACAGATGTCAAAACATTATTATATTCAAATGGTATTGAATATGTTTGGGACAATCAATATGTGTTACCTGAGTAGCAATTCTTAAATCAGTTTGTGACTAGATTAAGAGATGAATATTTACAAAATTGGCATTTCCTTATAAACGATTCTCATAAACCATGTACAAACATAACTTTTCGCTTGAACCGTATCTTGATGTATTAGATATCCGTTAATACCGTAGCGCAAAGTCACGTTTTCGCACGTCTACACTTGACCTTGCAATTTAACGTGGTAGATACAGTGGAGTAGATAAGCATTTAAAAATAAGTACATTTTGTTAAGTTGAGGTAGAAAATGAGTACCATTTTTTATTAAAATGTTCTAGACTTTAAACATTCGAACACAATTTATTTCTAGAAAGTTTGATGACAAACAATGTATTTAATCATTTTTTATTCTGATGAGTTGCAGAAACCATCTCATTAATTAAAAATGTTGCTATGTATATTTATTATGCTCAATTAGAAAGAAAACGTATACTTGAACAGCTTTAGATATATTCTCTGTATAAGAAAGTTACTGTATTGATATCACTATATACGCTCTTGTATCACAGTAAGCATTGTATTATATGTATTTATGTCATTTGTTGATCTTGGGCCGCTGGCCATATGTCAATAAACTTTTTGTCATTGTCATTGTCATTGTCATTGATTAAGTTGTTAGATTCTAGAAAGTCTTTGAGGTTATTAGAGACATGGCGTTCAATGATTTTGGTTAATATTGGAAGGATTGAGATTGGTCTGTAGTTGCATTTGTCACTTTTAGAACCTTTTTTAAATATAGGTGTAACTTTTGCAATCTTAAATTGGTTTGGGAATATATCATTAGAAATGCTTAAGTTCATAATATATGTAATTGAATTCGCTATGATGTCAGCTGACATTTTTAGGTATTTTGGCCCAAGTCCGTCCAGACCTGTAGACTTGCTTTCGTCAAGATTTAGTAACTCTTTTTGAACAAACTCTTTCGTTACAAGTGGTATTTCAAATTTAGAAGAAAAGTTTGAATTTTCTTGGCTGTCATTAATTTCTGGGAGTGTGTGTTGCGTACACTGAAATATGTTAATGAAATAGTCATTAAAAGTATTAGCTGTTTGGACTGGATCTGAAATAGGGTTGCCTTGATCGTCATTGATGAAATTAGTTGGATGTATTACAGATGTACCTGATAAATCTTTAAGATTTTTCCATAGGGTTTTAGGATCATTTTTCCTATTGTTATTTATTTTTTCTGTAAAAAAAGTTTTTTTTTGATGTTTTGATAAGTGCTTTTACTTTATTTCTCCAGATCTTGTACTGTTCAAAGTTACCTTTACTTTTAAAATAATCTCTTTGATTTATTGCATATTTTATATCTGTAGTTAACCAGTCTGGTTGACTTGTATGTTTTACACGTTTAGTTTTTAGTGGAGCATGTTGATTAAGTGTATTTAAAAATAAGTTGGAAAAATAGTCTAGTGCATCATTTGGATCATCGTATATTTGCAGGGTGCTCCAAGGTTGACATTTTAATTGTTGTAAAAATTCTTCTTGATTAAACTTCTTTGTATTTCTATAAGAGATTGTTTTATGCATTGGTCCATCAGAACTTTTAGACGTTTTTCTTGTTATACATACTGGTAAGTGATCACTTAGGGATATTTTGGGGATAGTAATTTTCTTTATGTTACATGGAATATTTGTATACATATGATCAATAATTGTTGATGATGTTTGAGTAATTCTAGTCGGAAGTTCAACCATTTGGCAAAGATTGTAACTGTCATTTAGTTTTAACCAGTTTGATTTCAATGAATTTTCAGTTTTAAAATCAATATTAAAGTCTCCCATTATCAACAGTTCCTTGTCTTCACAAATTAATTTTTCCAGGGTATCTTCATACATCGAGTTCCAAGATGACAGGGATGATGGTGGTCGATACACATATCCAAGAATAAATGGTTTTTGATTAAATGGTTTAATTTCCAGTAAAATAATTTCCATATTGGTGTTTTCAAGATCTTCACGCCTAACACAAGGGTAGTTTTCTTTCACAAATACAACAATACCTCCACCATTTGATTGTCGATCTCTCCGAAAGAACTGGTAGCCATTTATTAGGAATTCTTCATCACTAAAACTTTCATTTAAAAATGTTTCACAGATGCCAAAAATATCAATTTCTTTGTGTTCATGTAAAAGTATCTTGATTTCATCAAATTTTGGAAACAAATAATGAATGTTAAGATGCATGAGTTTTAATCCTTTTTTAAGGAACCAATCATTATGAGGATTTGTAATCGAGAAGTTATCATGTTCTGACTGATCTTTGTAATTTAAACTTGGTGCGGTGGCATTGATGGAGGAAATAGGTACATCCAAGGTGACATTGGTGGGAATTGATTCCAGATTCTTAACGAGTGGGGTGTTGGTGGCAATTTCTGCATTTGATGGTTGTAAAACATCTGTTGATGTGGTGGCCCTGGTGATTTTTGGGGATAGTTGGCCCAATGAAAATTTCCTGATTGCTTATGTGAGGACTGGACTTTGATGCCGAGCAGAGATCGTATGGTCGCTTTCATGTTCTTTGCTAGGACGGCAGCTCCCTTGTCACTAAGATGGACTTCTGTGGTGAAAAGTTCTTGTTTTGCTATCCCATTGTTCATGAACATGGTGGTGTTGTCTATATATGTGTAATCACATTGATCACACAGTTGTCTTAACTGTTTATTTGCATTTATAATTTCATCAGTAGATGTTGTGTCTGATTTCATAGGTAATATAGAAGAAATAACAATTTTAGCTTCTGGGTTCTTTTCTGTGAGAGATTTTGTAAGTTCTTGGAACTGGTCTTTCATGTCTGAGGGAGAAACATTGTTTGAAATATTGTTTATGCCTGCATGAATAATATATATTTCAGAGTTGCTAAAGTCAGGTGAATCTTCACTGAGTTTTGGTATCTTAGTGCAGATATCTTTTACTTCAGCTCCACCATATGATCTTATATTTACACTTGTTCTGTTAGTTGACATCCTTTTAGATTTTAATTTCTTTGTTACTGAATCACCCAAGATGAATATGCGAGATCTTGAATCACAGTCTTCAATAGTAATTGGTAGTTCTTTCTTTTAAACTGGTTTTGATGCTTGGTGTTGTTCTAATTTTTCTTCATATTTGTTTTCTTCAATGATAATTGGTGGCTCATCCTTGTTGTCAGGTTTTGATATGCTGTTAGCAACTATGGCTTGGGTCTCCAATGATTTTTCTTCTTGCTTGTTATGGTTTTCTTCTTTTCTATAATTTCTAACTTCACCCTGAAGTAGATAGATATCTGTATTGGTAGGGATATTTTCAGTTCTGTCTTTTAGTACATCAAGTGTCTGTGAAATGTCTAATATTTTACTGTTGATCTCAGCAATATCATTTTGAATGGCAGTACTATTTTCCTTATTTTCCTGTTGTGTTGACATTTTTTGTCGAAGAGTCTTATTTTCCTGTTTTAGAGATGAGTTTGCTAGCTTAAGTTTTCCCATTTCTTCTTGCAAGATAAGAATTTCAGCATTTAAGTCATTACATTTTGTTTTCACAGTGTTAGTTTCTTGTGCATATTTGGTTTTCAATTCTATCATTGATTTTTTAACAATTTCAATTTCTGACACAAGATTTTGGTTTTCCCTGATGCATTTTTCATATTTGACTTTCATTTCTTCCTCGTATTTATTTTGTATTGGGACAGCTTCACTTGAAGATTTAGGAGAAGATAATGCTGCTATATCTTGGGTGACTGATTGCCCAGATATACTTTGTACCTCACAGTCTTCGCTAATGTTAGATATCACTTCAAGATTCTCACTGTAGTCATTTAATATTTGACAGTTGTCATTGTTGGACAAAGTGTCTTGAAAAATAGTCTCTGTTGAGTCAATTAGTTGTTTCACTTTTGTTTGCTCTGTGTCATTAAAAGTGTTCTCAATTGAAGGTGAACTGCATTTAGAGTTTGGCGTGGTGTTACGTTTATCTGGCCTTTTTTTCACATACTGATTATATTTGAAGTTAAGAGGTGTTGAGCCAACTCTATTTAAAGGTGTTGAGTTTTGGGGTTGGAAGTTGACAGGTCTAGAACCTTTTTTGACAAGATGGCTGGATTGAACCTCCTTTAGACACTTGTTGAAGTACTCCATGTTCACTGGGGATTTTCCCTTCTTTCTCTCAGTTTTCTTCATTTCTTTGGCCATTTTCAATAATTCTTTGTTAATTGGTGGACCAAATAATTTTGTCGTCACAGAATTCAACAGGCCTCTAGATTTTGACTTTTCTTTGAGTTTTGTTGTGTCATTATTTTGTTGATCGTCTATGCTAAATTTGGTTCCTAACCCCATAGGACTTTTGGATTTTTCTGTTGGTTTGTCATTGTCTAATTGTTTGTCTAGTGTGGCAGATAGTGTTTTAAAGATGGTGTTTCTCCATATTCTACATCCTGGTCCTTGTATTAAGAGTGTTTGGGAACTATATGATGTTATTACAACTTTTTTGTCCATAATTGATATTGTTGTTGAGATTCCAGTTGCATCTTTTGTTGGTGAGAAAGTGTACATCTGCTGGAGATTTAATAGCACTACTAGCATTTAAATAAAAATTATGGTAATGGATTAATTTTGTTGAGGTTTATATACAATTTTATTCAAATAAGAGTAAATTTTAATAGCACCTTGATATAAAGTTCTAAGAGATTTCGTATATATCCGTTACAAACATTTCTTTTCATGAGTGCCGTAATAATCTTCATTAAACAAAATTAATTTTTATATCAAAAGAGTGTGTAGTTAATTGCATTTACTAATTATCTAATTTAATGTGCATGTAAAGGACAGTTTTAATGCAACTTTGATGTGCATGTCGGTACTCTCATTTATCATAATTGTGTACAAATTGATTAAATCATCACCTTTTTGAGCTACAATATACAAGGTCTTTAATCAGCATGGATTAGCACGTGTGATAAACAATACAACAACTACTGTCCTCTACTGATGACCACATTGCTTTTCGGTACACATAGTATGGTAAAAATAAAGACATAACTGAACGAACATTTATAAGTTTTTCTTTATTTTACATTATTGAAAAATATAATAATAAAAAATATGGTTCAATGCTTTGAATAACTTATTGGTACTTTTTACACATCCTCTTTCTATCCTTCACACAACCTATAAAATATTAGAAATATGATACATTGATATGAGCAAGATTGAAAAATCGTGTAACTATTCATAATATTCATAAATGAAATAAGTTCAACTTAATTAATCAATTTATAACACTTTCACATAATTAATATGAAGGATAAGTGTGATTTATATAAATATTCGAGTGTAGATGTACTTTAGCACCGGAAAGCAATCAATACAACTTTGTAACAACTCTGAAAATCGCGTAATGAAACATAAAAAATTTATAAAAACGTCATGAAATATAGATCTTCAACTACTAAATAGATTGGTAACACTTTCAAACCAATAAAATAAAGTTTTCATGTATTAATTGGATAAACAATATTGCTATTCGGTAATGTACATGTATCTTAGCAGGACCGGAAAGCACTCGATATATCAGTTTTCCTAAATACTCGTAATAATTATCATTATATATTTATAAAAACATGTTGTCTGAAAGATTTTGATCTAATAAATCGATTGGTAACACTTTCAAACCAATCAAATAAAGTTTTCATGTATTACTTTGATAAACTATATTGCTATTCGGTAAAGTACATTTATCTAAGCAGGACCGGAAAGCACTCGATATATCTTATTTTCCTAAATAATCGTAAAAATAATCATAATATAATTACAAAAACGTGTTGTCTGAAAGATTTTGATATAATAAATCGATTGGTAACACTTTCAAACCAATAAAATAAAGTTTTCATGTATAACTTTGATAAACAATATTGCTATCCGGTAATGTACATGTATCTTCACAGGACCGGAAAGCACTCGATATATCTATTTTCCTAAATAGTCGTAATAATTATCAATATATATTTATAAAAATGACTTGTCTGAAAGATTTTGATCTAATAAATCGATTGGTAACACTTTCAAACCGATTAATTAGCGTTTTCATATGTTTTTTTGAGAAATTTGAGTGCTTTCCGGTATTTCGGTGCTATCCGGTGCTTTCCGGTTTTTCTATGCACCGGTGTGTATACGACAGTTATTATGGCCGATAATTCAATCTTTGTATGACTTTTATTTCAGTATCAACGTAAACAAAGATACAAAAGACAGCCATTTATCTTGGAAACTTACGCGGCTAAAAAGAAAATAATGTCCATGTATTTATATAATAAAATTACCAGTTAACATTCCCAATCCTCTCTCGATTTCGGTCATTTTCTACGGCGAAATCAAAGTCTAATTCTTCCTCCGATTCTTCATCATTGGAATCGCTCTCGTTAATTTCAATTGTCGGTTCAGGTTCGTACATGTATGGCTGAACGACAAAATTATCATCCAACTCGTAATCAAAGACATTACCTTCCATAATTCGTATTTTCAGTACCAATTGTACGTGTTTATATTGTGAAGTTACTACTTTCAGTTTACACTAGGGATAATTATACGTCACTTCCGGTTTGAGGTCGCACCTGCTAAACGGATAGCAAGTCTATCATCTGTGCGATACCGGGTTTTGTAACGGTAATACTAAAGCAATTTCCGTGAATTTTATTCGAATTTTAGGAAAAATAGGTTTATTGAAGTATGTTTAATACGATTAGATACTAAAAAGAGCAATTTTAAAGCGAGCTCAGGAACCTTTAAGACATTCATAACTTTTTATTAACTCGCTAAAAGTGTAGTTAAAAAAAGTAGAAAATTATTTTAATGATTAATGTATAAAATTCATTCAAATGTCTCTAGCACTGCATTGAATTTATAACATTGTATCAATATGGGATATCGGATAAACACATGAATAATGGTGCAAACGAAGGCAAAGGAAAAATTAAATATCTAGTAATCTTTGGCTACTTTTTTAAACGATCAGAGATCCGTTTTTTTCTTATTCAAAGTACTTTATAAGGTTATAAATACTTTGTCAAAAATAAAAAAAATTAACGAACAAGCATGTATAATAAATCTGAGAGGAAGATAAGCTCAATTATAATGTAGGAATTTTTCTGTTTATCATTAAATTTTCAAAGACAAGAATATAATAACTTAATAGTTGAATTAAAAATGTAAATCTATAAAAATGCAATTATTAATCTTATAAGATGTACCAGGAAACAGCAATGAGTATTTGAATAACAGTAAGGAAATAAGTCATTCACAAATGGTTTCACTATTCCCTAACTTGAGTTGCGGAATAAGTCACTTAACCGAAGTATGAGTACTGTCATGTATTTTTCAATGAGATAATAAATACTTAATAGGATTACAATGACTTACTATCTGATCTAAGATTGAAATAGAAAAAATACATGTTTTCTTCAGTTGTTATAAATCTAATAATAAATATGTCTCTGTCACCAATTTTAAGTGTAGTTCTTCTAAATCTGAAGTTTCCTTAAAAACAAATTAGTGAAAAATAAAGATGGACCACCTGTGTTCAGAAAGGACCACCTGAATTTTGGATCCAGTGGTTCGGCATACCACCTGCTGAAAAAGTTAGTGTCGAGACCTGGTTAGACGGATCATGCGTACAGTGGGAGAACCTGCATGTGTCGCCACGGGAACATGATAATTTTAGTCTACAGATTGTGTTGATAATGATAGCAGTGGACACAGTTGTTTACTTTATACTGGCCTGGTATATAGACAATGTACATCCAGGTAAAATTAGAACTTAATCTTTTATTCTATTCAGAACTAACCAGTTAATGTAATTAACCGTTTTTCTTGCAAATCATCCTGGATTTTCTAGTGTTTGCATCGAAAATGCCATTAACTTAGTTTCAACCTATATATCAAATGAGTCTCATTCTTTAGATATAATTTCCATTACGCCAGGAATGATTGGAATACCAAACCCTTATTTCAGAAACATAGTAATAACTGTCTACCATAGCCATGGTATTGTTTCATTATTTAATGAACTTCCAGTATACAAAGCCTTTGTATATTCTATCATTTTAGAAACTTATTGTATTTTCTATCATTTAAGAAACTAATGGTATACAAGAGCCATGTTATTATCTTTGTATATCAAAGCTATGGTGATTTCCATTACATCAGGACCTAATATGGTGTATTTAGGCCATGGCATTTTTCATTATTTCAGAATCTTATGGTATATTTAGGCCATGGCATTTTTCATTATTTCAGAATCTTATGGAATATTTAGGCCATGGCATTTTTCATTATTTCAGAATCTTATGGTATATTTAGGCCATGGCACCCTTTATTATTATTTTAGGATCTTATGGTATACCAAAGCCATGGTATTTTCCATTCACAAGCTCTTACTGGTGTGGAACATCACTTTGGGAAACATGTTGTCTTAAACGTCTGTTAGGAATTAATCGTAGCAGACGTCGTTACTACCTCGTCAATGATGATCCGGAAAATGATGATGTCACTGTTGATGATGACTCAGGTATTTCTGATTTAAGTTTATCTTTTGGAGTTATTTCCCTTTCCATTATTTTAGGAATTTATATAGATATTACCTATATTAAAATAAATCAATGTTTAGTGATAACATGAATGCTTTATTGTGGAAACAGGACTGTGTTTCAATATCATTGTCTTAATTTTACCATAAATGATCATTTTAAAGCTTTAACGGATATTAAGAGGATATTTTTAGTTTGAGTGAAATATGGAATATATTTTCATAAAACATCATAAAATACCAAATATTTTCACTTCCCGGGACAGCGAGTGAAAATATGTGGCATTTTATCAAGTTGAGTGAAATATATACCATATTTCACGAAAAACAAGAAAAAGATCTTTTTATTTAATTTCATTATCAAGAAAAATGGCTACACAACTGTAATATATTCATCATTTATAGATGGGTCTTGTTTTGCATATGATATTTGGCGCCAGATTGTGACGTCAGGTAAATAACTCTTTTAATGTCTGTACAGCATTTATGACTGAATTAAAGATATTGGTGTTCGGATTTATTTATGTCTGTACAGCATTTATGACTGAATTAAAGATATTGGTGTTCGGATTTATTATGCTCCCCGAAAAATTTCGGGGCAGCATATAGTCGGTGCCTTGTCCGTCCGTCCGTCTGTCTGTACATCCGTCTGTCCGTCCGTTGTCTTGTCTGGAGCATAACTTGAAAACCATTGGAGATAGTTTGTTGAAACTTCATACAATGGTAGAGGGCATTGAGGGGGAGTGCAGTGTCAAAGAACCATAACTCTATTTTGCCCGGTTTTTGAATTATCTCCCCTTATAAGAAAATCTTGTCCGGGGCATTACTCAAAAAGTATAAGAGATATCAACATGAAACTTGAATAGATCTCAATAGGTAGATGTGCAAAGCATAAGAACAATAACTCTTTTTGTCCTTATTTTGGAGTTATTGCCCTTTGTTAATTTTAACACTTTGAACTTTGTCCGGAACATAACTCTAAAACTATAAGAGATATCAAGATGAAAAATTGTAGGTAGATATATCTCATTGAGTAGAAGTGCAGTGCAAAAGTACCATACCTCTGTTAAGCCTCATTTTTGAATTATCTCCCCTTTTAGAAAAATCTTGTCCAGGACATAGCTGTAAAACTATAAGAGATATCAACATGAAATTTTGTAGGTAAATATATCTCAATGGGTAGATGTGCAGTGCACAAGAATAATAACTCTGCCTTGCCTAATTCTGGAGTTATTGCCCTTTGTTTATTTTTACTTTTTGAAGTTGTCCGGGACATAACTCGGAAATCATAAGTGATATCATCAAGAAACTTTGTAGGTTGATAGATCACATTGATTAGAAGTGCAGTGCAAAGAACAGTAACTCTGCCTTGCCTAAATTTGGAATTATTGCACTTTGAACTTTTTCCAGGGACATAACTCTGAAACTACAAGAGGTGTACTTTCCGGTGTCCAAAACCTATTTGGGGAGCATCACCCGGCTCAAACCGGGCTCTTGTTTCTTAGTTAGACCATTTTCTATCATTCTGGATAGTTTTCAAAACAAAATTCAACAATTGTTTTTAGCTCACCTGTCACTTTGTGACAGGGTGAGCTTTTGTGATCACTTTTCGTCCGTTGTCCGTCCGTCCGTCGTTCGTTAACTTTTACTTTAAATGACATCTCCTCATAAACCACTAAGCCAATTTCATCCAAACTTCACAGGAATGTTCCTTTGGTGGTCACCTTTTGAAAATTGTTCAAAGAATTAAATTCCATGCAGAACTCTGGTTGCCATGGCAACCAAAAGAAAAATCTTTAAATATCTTCTTCTAAAAAACCCAAAGAGCTAGAGCTTAGATATTTGGCATGGAATATCTTCTAGTGAGTGTCTACCAAGTTTGTTCAAATAAAAGCCCTGGGGTCAAAATTGGCCCTGCCCCAGGGGGTCATTGATTTTTCCTATATGTATTTAGTAAAAACTTAAAAAATCTTCTTTTAAAGAACCAAAAGAGCTAGAGCCAAGATATTTAGCACGAAACATCTTCTAATGGGTGTCTACCAACTGTCCAAATAAAAGCCCTGGGGTCAAAATTGGCCCCGCCCCAGGGGGTCATTGATTTTTCCTAGATGCATATAGTAAAAACTTAAAAATCTTCTTTAAAAAAAACCAAAGAACTAGAGCTAAGATATTTAGCATGAAACATGTTCTAATGGATGTCTACCAAGTTTCTTCAAATAAGAGCCATTGGGTCAAAATTGGCCCCGCCCCAGGGGGTCATTGATTTTTCCTATATGCATATAGTAAAAACTTAAAAATATTCTTTTAAAGAACCCAAAGAGCTAGAGCTAAGATATTTAGCATGAAACATGTTCTTATGGATGTCTACCAAGTTTGTTCAAATAAGAGCCCTTGGGTCATAATTGGCCCCGCTTCAGGGGGTCATTGATTTTCCCTATATGAATGTAGTAAAAAGTTAAAAATCTTCTTTTAAAGAACCCAAAGAGCTAAAGCTAAGATATTTTTTAAGTTTTTTAATCCATTGTGTTTAACGCGCTTTTCCTTTGCTATTGAATAACCATGGTAACACGCACCCGGCCCAGCACATAAATATAGTTATTGGAGCTAAGTTCTACTTCTAATTTATAAATAAACAACTGTTTGTTTTCTCCTGTATTCCATCAATATGTTGAAATATAATAATGTGACATTATGTCCAAATTTGACATCATTCGGACATGAAATGGCCTATTTATTAAGTTTTGAACAGCAGCGGTCATAGCGTTAGATGTAGAAATATGACATTCGTTAACAAACAGAAAATGTGTGCCATCGTTAAATTTTGCCAACAGATTGACTATAATCATTTAGATACACACAAAATGATTAAATAAATAAAGGACAATTATCCTGCCATCAGGACACTTGTTTTCAGCTAGCACAAGTAATTCAAAAACTGCAAATACAAGATCACTAACAAGAAAGGGCGAGGATGAAAGTTGAAAATTGACGGGACGTTAGTGACGTCAATTGCAAAAGCGCTACAAAAGAATCCACGGTAAACGGTACGCGAACTGTTTATCGTTGTTTGTATCTGCTTCGGGTCTACTTATTCAGTTTTAACCAAAGGATTA